TCTCATGAAAAGTTTGAAGTTCGGCCAAGACCCTGAAAAGTGCTCCTCACTGTGTATCGTTTGCCGACACGAAGATCTAACGCTGATCTAAGGGAGGGGTGACTGAGTTCACCATACAGTAAAAAAATTACCAGAGGTCTAGACCTTCTGGGGAGCAAAGCTCTACGGGTAAATAGCAAAGCTTAACTAGCCGAGCTAACTAAAATGGAGACACTGAATTAAGTTCTTAGTGTATTTATACCAGTTATACGTGAGCAAACAACTAAACTGTGTGACAGGAAAATGGCTCACAGTCAGGGCCAAAGTTACGACAAACTTTCAGATAAAAGGTGTCGACAAGAGAAATTAGAAAACTTGATGGTAAAAACACCGTCGGGAACGCGAATAAGCCCTCGGCTATGAAAAAGCAATCCTATGCATATCAAAAAGACGAGTAAATGTAAAACTGCAACATATTTTAAAAACTGATTCAACCTAGTAACTGAATACATTGGGGAATCTGACTCCAGTATTAGAATGGAGACCTTTCTCGGCAGTAACTTTAAACAATATAAAAACTACAACTATGTAAATAATAAAAGCGTAAAAAACTAAATCAAATTGCCAATAGGCACGTCTAAAGTGCCTCTGTCACATATGGTATAACAATGGTAATAAAAATTTACTACTGACTCCTGGTGTTCTTCAGGTGACTCTTGAACTAAAAGTTGCAAGTGCACAAGCTGTGCACACGACTAGTCGTAATATGGCACAAACATTTATCTTTGAACTACGAAAAGATTTAACTTATTATTATTGTCCCCAATTAGCTAAACCAATCGACACTTAATTAAAGTTCAGATTTCATTCTAATTTTTCTCGACCATTCTCGAAAAATAGACACCCCGGAAAGCTTCATTGTACTTCTTTTTTCACCATAAAAGTTAGAACGCTTCATTCCGTCGAAGGAGGTGAAGCCCTCTCCCGATGATCGCTCGATACTAAATGACATTCTCGCTAAAACTCATAGTAGAATGACGATGACTATCCAATTTTCCCGGTTCGCGCGCGCGCACTATTTAGACTACTTAGTATTGGGAAAATCTCGTTCTCGTCCTCGTCTCAGAATCTAAATCTCTCTGATGGTAAAAACAAGGTACGCAAATATTCCTCGGCTATGAAAGAGCAATCCTACGCATATAAAAAAGACGAGTAAATGTAAAACTACAACATATTTTAAAAAATTATTCAACCTAGTAACTGAATACATTGGCGAATCTGACTCCAGTATTAGAATGGAGACCTTTCTAGGCAGTAACTTTAAACAATCTACCATTAGAATAAAAACTACAAAGATGTTAATAATAAAAGCGTAAAAAACTAATTAAATTGCTAATAGGCACGTCTCAAGTGCCTCTGTCACATATGGTATAACTTGGTATGACAATGGAAATAAAAATTTACTACTGATTTTTGATGTTCTTCAGGTGACTATTGATCAAGTTGCAAGTGCACAAAATGTGCACACGACTGGTCTTAAAATAAGCTATGGAAATTACACTAATCTTTGGAGTACGAAAACATTTAACTTATTATTATTACTACTTAGTATTGGGAAAATCTCGTTCTCGTTGTCGCCCTCGGGGTCTTAGAATCTAAAGCTCTCTTATAAGAGCATCATTCTCTCTTCCCCATTACGAGTTTCCAAGATTGAGAGGAACGCTCGTCTTCATTGTAACACAAAGAAATTGAGTTCAGCTTCAGATAAATCGGAACTGCTTTACCGCATGCTGCACCTATACAACACAAACAGCAAATAGCAACGTTAGAAAGCTAGCACAAGTAAAGGATACTGATTCCTACCTGTACAGTCTACACGACGGACACCTCTGTAAAACGGACACCTAGAGTTGGCCCCTGCCTTTCTTTACTGTCTTTACTTGACTCTCTAAAAGACAGACACCTCCCTCAGACGAACACTTAATGCCGGTCCCAAAATTGTCCTTCTCAGAGGGAGGTGACATGAAATACAATATTTTGACGATGTACCTAAAAATCTCTTAGAGCAATGGGCAACTAGCCTGCGTACCAAGCGTTTCCCTGCGGTTTCGGAGCAAAGAATGAGGAACGAGAAAAAAAAATGGTGTGAATAAAAGAGCGGGGATCAGGGGGGTGGGGAAGAAATGTAAGGTCTCACTCGACCAAACCCGAAAATCCCGTTCCTCGGTCTTTCTTTGCTCCAAAACCAAACGGAATCGCTTGCCACGCAGGCTAGGGGGTAACACTAAACTGGTTACTTCATCCTATCATTAGCATTATTGCAGTTTTAGTCAACTCGCTCTGAGATGGACACTTTTGGACCCATAACCTGACGTGTACCGTGTAACTTTCATAATTAATAGTCATATTGCCCTATGCAACAGCGTTTCCTGGATCAACTTATTTTTAGCATCATTTTGAGCACTTTTTCCCGCGATAATGGAGGCACGATGTCGTATGCGTGCGGATCCATAATACGATAATTACAAAAACAAGAAGAATTAAAATGGTTTCAAAACATCAGAAACACTATTTTCTAGTCTCCAGATTTTGATACCTAATTTGTAAGACTTATTTGATATTCAAAATCCGCGGTAAAATCGATCTCAAAATAAACTGGTCTGTGAAAATGCCGTTTCATTGGCACAAGGGAGTTGCTCGCTCCGTATCATGGGATCCTGGAAATGTAAAGAAATCAAGAGACTTGAAAGAAATGTTCTCGTTTCAGGCCAAATTCAGAGTCGTTTGTGTTGAACTTGACCTGTGATATGCAGCAGACTGATGCTAATTGGCACCTGTTGAGTTCGTTGTGATATAAAACGACATAAATAATTGCTAGTATAATTCATCCCAAAATACCTTGCTATTTATTAGATGCCTTCAAACTCAAGCGTTACGTCATCACCAATGAGAACAAATGGCGCCCAGTACTTCACTGCGCTAAAGCGGTCAGATTCTCTCAAGGATTTCATGGCTTTATTCAGGGCCTCACTGGCACTTCGTCCATGAACGAAGTGTTGGTAGAAAACTTTCATGAACTCCATAGTAGCTTTGTCGTCAATCGCCCACAGGGACACCAGAACAGCACGAGCACCAGCACCCAAAAATGCCCGTGCAATGCCGACCACACCCTCAGATTTGACTTCTCCCCGGGCACTGTGACAACAACTAAGTACCACAAGTCTTGCCCTTATCTGCGCCTTTAAAACATCTTTCATCGTTAAGAGATAGTCCTCCTTGTCTGGAATGGGGGATGAACGCGTTGTGTTTGGAGCCAAAGCGATTTCTCCTGTTTCCATTTTACCGTGAGCAGCAATGTGCACTAAAGCAACCGTGGAGATACGTGTTAAGACTTTATCTTTAGTTGCCTGCTTTCCAACGAGAGGTTCCGTTTGAAGTATTTCCCCAATCATCTGCACTTCCTTTTCGGCCCACTCTAACTGCTCTGGCGTCATTCCTTCATAAACTACCTCCTGTACCCACGGATCGCCGACGAGAAGGGCGCCAGTCTTGCTGTGCCAATCTGCTGGACAATTTTGGATTAGTCGCAGACTAGAAAGGGAGGGAAGAAGACGAATTCTAAAAGTGTCGCAGAGGTACTTTGATTCCAAGTTCATGAAAGCAGCATAAGGCGCCAAACACAGAGGTCCTTGTGGGACAATCACAACCTCATCGCCCTGGAGTAAGTCTCTTATAGGGTCTATAACAACATTGTACCATGTTTGTAATGACGTTGTCTCAAAATATGAAGGATGAGACTTTGACTTACTGTATCTTTCTTCTGCTAACTTTTTATCGCTTGGGTTCCTTAACGAACGATCCTCACAATTAACATCAGCTCTCACTCCTATTTCTTCACGTGCAGTCTCCAATAGAGACTGTAAATAGGTTGTGACGGAAATATCAATCTCAGTTCTTCTAGTTTTGATTTCATTTCCTTTCTCGTTCACCCAGAGAACTATTCCTCCCTCGCTGATACCCATGAAAGCTGTATTTGGTGGTAAGTAACTAGGAAAGTCGTTTGCTCTTGCAGAAAGTGTTCCTATTTCTGGTCGTAGCCCTTTAAGGCCATACTTGAACTCCAGAAGGTCATTTAAAGCTTGCGCACGTCCTTTATCAGCAGTTAAAAGTGCCTCGATGACTATACCTCCCTTAAACTACAGCTCCCATACCCTCGAAATAATACGATCATACGTATTCCCAAAGCTAATCTTCCATTCGTCATTAGATAAGAGATTTCCCCTGATGTGGTCGAAGGCTATAACACTCTCCTTATAATACTGAACGGCTTTCTGGAATTCTCCAACACTGTGATAGGCGTCGCCAAGATTACAGTTCGCTATTCCTTCTCCTGCCCTCTGACCTAATTCTCTGGATATTTTGAGGTTTCGTTCAAGGTAATCTATGGCTTTCTGGAAATTTCCAAGACTGTTATAAGCGTTGCCAAGATTACCGTACGCTATTCCTTCTCCTGCCCTGTCTCCCACTTCTTTCGAAATTTTGAGGTGTCGTTCATGGTGCTCAATAGCTTTCTGGAAATTTCCAAGACGGTAATAGTCGTTGCCAAGCTGAGCATCCGCTCTTCCTTCCCCTGCCCTGTCTCCCACTTCTTTGGAAATCTTGAGGTATTGTTCATGAAACTCAATGGCTTTCTGGAAATCTCCAAGACATTGATAGTTGTTGCCAAGATTACCATACGCTTTTCCTTTTCTTGTCCTGTCTCCAACCTCTTTCAAAATTTTGAGGTGTCGTTCATGGTACTCTATGGCTTTCTGAAAATCTCCAAGACTGTAATAGTCGTTACCAAGATTACCATACGCTTTTCCTTCTCCTGCCCTGTCTCCAACCTCTTTCGAAATTTTGAGGTGTCGTTCATGGTACTCTATGGCTTTCTGAAAATCTCCAAGACTGTAATAGTCGTTACCGAGATTACAGTACGTATTTCCTTTCCCTGCTCTGTCTCCCACTTCTTTCGAAATTTTGAGGTCTCGTTCGTGGTACTGTATGGCTTTCTGGAACTCTCCAAGACTGTAATAGGCGTTGCCAAGATTACCGTACGCTTTTCCTTCTCCTGCCATGTTTCCCCCTGCTTTCGAAATTTTGAGGTGTCGTTCATGGTACTCTATGGCTTTCCGGAAATCTCCAAGACTATAATAGTCGTTGCCCATATTACAGTACGCTCCTCCTTCTCCTGCCCTGTCTCCCACTTCTTTCGAAATTTTTAGGGCTCGTTCATGGTACTCTATGGCTTTCTGGAAATCTCCAACACTGTCATAGGCGTTGCCAAGATTACCGTACGCTCTTCCTTCTCCTGCCCTGTCTCCCACTTCTTTCGAAATTCTGAGGTCTCGTTCACCGTACTCTATGGCTTTCTGGAAATCTCCAAGACTGTTATAGGCGTTTCCAAGATTACAGTACGCTTTTGCTTCTCCTGCCCTGTCTCCCACTTCTTTCGAAATTTTGAGGTGTAGTTCATGGTATTCTATGGCTTTCTGGAAATCTCCAAGACTGTCGTAGGCGTTGCCAAGATTACAGTACGCTTTTGCTTCTCCTGCCCTGTCTCCCACCTCTTTCCAAATTTTGAGGTGTCGTTCATGGTATTCTAGGGCTTTCTGGAACTCTCCAATACTGTTATAGGCGTTGCGAAGATTACAGTATGCTCCCCCTTCTCCTGCCCTGTCTGCCACTTCTTTCGAAATTTTCAGGTTTCGTTCAAGGTACTCTATGGCTTTCTGGAAATCTCGAAGACTGTTATAGGCGTTGCCAAGATTACAGTACGCTCTTCCTTCTGCTGCCCTGTTTCCTACTTCTTTCGAGATTTCGAGGTGTCGTTCATGGTACTCTATGGCTTTCTGGAAATCTCCAAGACCGTGATAGGCGTTGCCAAGATTACAGTACGCTCTTCCTTCTCCTGCCCTCTCTCCCAGTTCTTTCAAACTTTTGAGGTATCGATTATGGTACTCTATAGCTTTCTGGAAATCTCCAATACTGTGGTAGGCGTTGCCAAGACTGCAGTATTCCTTTGCCTCTATACCCCTGTCTCCCACTTCTTGTCCTTTCTCCGCCATTTTAACGAAAAGGTGCGGATATGATAGTTGTGGCCGGTTGAAAAATTTCTTTTAGCCCTCGGACACTTTTTGCTTCATTGGGTATTTCAGCTCACTTCCTAAAAAAAGGTATAAATATTTTGTGATTTCATTTTCAGGTTTATGCAATTTTTCGTAAAAAAGCTAGCTCAGGATGAAGTGAAATACAATATAAAGCGAGAATATTTGAGTTTTAGCAAGATATTATATGCCGTTTAAAGAATGAACAAGAGCATATACACGACCGCAAGGTTATTGAACGCTTTCAATCTCTGATATAGAACAACTCATTCTTGCACTAATATTTAGATGTGGGGTTATTTTGGTCTAAAATATTGGACGTCAATTTATCAGGTATAAAGCCACTCATTAAACATTAATTTATTTTTACTATTCATTCAAAATGTTTCTAAGTTCTGAACGAGATTATCCCCTCGTAGACTTTCTTCAAACCTTTGGCCTTTTTCCAGGAGCGTCGCTTTGATATGCGCACATACGCTCGTGCGTACAGCTGAAATTTTGAAAAAAAAAATTATATTGAGAGCATTTTTATCATTAAATCGTGACAAAAAAAATAGGGATGATTGATAAATCTTTCGCATTTTATTGGTGTATTTGCCCGTCCCCTTTGCTCATAATTCTTTTAACTTGCGTCACTGCTTTCCCCTTTTTTCCAGTAAATACTGTACCGTATCGATGACACTAGAGATGTAAATTATATTTCCCTCGCATTTATTTACTGAAAATTTTCTGCGGAAAACGCAGGAAATGGCATTTCTGAGCCCAAAAATTTGCAAAATTTTCTGCGGTAGCATGCTTACAGACCTCCCTAATACGTCTGACCCGCTACACCCCTGATTTCCAGTTGTATAGAGCGTTTTCACATGACGTCGCGGCGGCCATATTAGTGTTCCAAAACAATGAAATGGCGGCCATGTTGGTGTACCAAGAAAATCTTCTGGGAGTTTAACTCTTTTCTCATGTAAATGATTTCTTTTGTTCCAATTAATTAGCATAGATACTGGCCACGGGAGTGAAAACGCTCTATTAGACCTGAGTTTCACGTCGATTACTGTGATTACCATTGCACGTAATTCATTTGTGCGATGTCATGTTGTTGAAATAAGTCGAAATATTTACTAAGTCTACTTATTATTATGCAAGGTTTGGAAATATTTTTCGTATAGCCTCATAAAATTTCACACAAATAGTTAATATGAATATTCTATACAGGCATGCATAATAAACGTATGAGGCTTCAAGAACCGAGTGCCATCTCGGAGAACGATCGCTGCGAAAAGTCCTGTCATCTGAGCGATACTGGCGATCGTATTCTGTGAACACAAAAGGGAGTTCTAGAGTAAATGCAGTCAATTTTTATTGGCTAGATTTAACATGTTAATATGCCTACCTCATAAAACGATGGTCTTGATACTTGTAATTCGCAACAATTCCCCGAATAATTCGCTTGATTTCACACGAAAAAAGGGTGTACAAGGGAATCACACTTAAGACAAGGTTTAATACACTTCGTCTTTCCTTAACAAATTAAAACTTTGCAAAAAAGAAAGATGAACTACTCTGCGTGGCAGGCGATAGGGTTTTTTATAACTTTGATCAAATAACGTCAGCAAAAAGTGACGTGAGTGCTTCCACAAATATACTAACTTGCAAAAAGCAGTCATCTGGAAAAATTTTTAAAAAAAAACTACAGGGGGATGGAACTGAGTGTCACATATAGGACCCAAAACACTGTAACCAACACTTTTCGTAACTAAAAGTCAAAAACGAACCAATGTGTTGTGCTAGGCCTATGTCACGGTGTTTTTACCGACCTGTATACCATAAAATTCCGAAAATAAACCTCGGGGCTTATATTTTTCAAAGGCCCTTTTTGAGGGACTTATTTTTAGAGGGGCTGATATTCGGAGAGGCTTATCTACGGAGGGAGATTTGCGTTTCAAAATCGATTGGGCTAGCCTTATAGTTGGAAGGAAATTTACCGTTTCTGCTTCGTCTTACTTTGTATTTGAGGGCAATTTTGTAAGTGTAGCCCCCCCCCCGGGGGGGACTTATATTTGGAGGGGCGAATTAACAGAGGGTTTTTTGCGTTACCAGTTTGGGGGGCTTATATTTGGACGGGGTTATACTTGGAGGAGCTTATTTTCAGAATTTTACTGTATCTTAACTTAAGTTTTTAATAGAGCACTTTATCCCGCGTATGTAGGCTCTGCTCCGTCGTTAGGCGTATTCAAAACTGAAAGCTTTAGGGAGGAAATGAAAACTAAACGTCGTTATATGGCCCAAAAAAGCATTTTCAGGTTTTTAGGTTTTGCTGACTGGTTTGTGAGACTTGACAGACTTAAAAATTTGCGATTCTGAAAATGATGTGGTCTGTGAAAACGCCGTGACGGAAGTACATGGAAGTTGCGGGCTCCACGACAGTGTTATAGGCTTCTGTGTGGAATCTTCCAAGGAGAAAGTTGATCTGCGACTTCCTCTTTTTCTCCGAACACAGGGCCGGATATCGCGTGTACGGACGTGATTTGGAGTAAAGTGTTGCAGGTCTACGTGCGCTGTCGTTTGCGGGGAGCCGGGCTCTAACTTTGTTACGTGGAGTTGGTAGGTTCTGCTGGATCCGTTGTCCCCAGTCTTTTAATGGAACCCCACTGGTACAGGTCGCCTCATGGAAGGGAATCCGCATTCCGGAATCCCAGAAGTCTTGCCTGTGGAATCCAGAATCATGGCCTTTGAAATCTGGAATCTCAATAACAATTAAAGTCCAGTATCCAAGTCCTGCATCAGAGATCAGACTGGAATTCAGTGCCTGGAATCTGGGATCCATGACGTGGAATCTGAATACAAGACAATCTTGGATTCCCTTACATTTGAGTGGAGTACGCGCCTTTCAAGGGAAATTAAATATTTTGGGGCACTTCAATTGCTGGCTTCAATTTCCCCTTGAAACCTAACGTTCTCTCCTGGTCACAAAGTATTTGTTCTTTTTACTTCCACCCTCTTTCTCCAACTCCATCATGAAGTCAGTTGCCAATTCCATGCTACTTGTCGCAGTGTTGATTGTATGTGTTCACCGTAAATGATCTAATAAACGCCTGCGGGGTGTTTATTTTATTTTGAGGGTTCAAGAGGGGGGCAAATCTCAACATCGGTGTCAGAATCCTTGCTTAGAATCATTTTTGTCCTCATTAGTCTTTCCTTACTTTGACCATAACATTGAACAAGTTACAATGTGCTAACCCTTATTAATTAGCAAGAAATTGAGTAAATTTAAATGATTTTGCGCTTTTTTTGGCCAATTTCTTGTAAGACAGGGGGCGTTTATTAGAGAGGGGCTACTTATACAAACTTAACGTTGCGGAGGGGCGTTTATTAAATAAGAGGCGCTTGAAAGGGAAGGTAAAGGAGATTTCGCGCCCAAATTTCCTTTACTTTCCTTTTGGAACGTTTGCCACGCACGCTAGCAGGTAACCGGGAAAATAATAGTTTTATCAAAGGAAACTCCCAAGTATTTCGATTTTGCAGCGATAAGTGAATGTAGAAAGCTAAACCACTGAAACAACAAAACTGCTGACAACCATTAAAACTCAAAAACATGTCATCGCGGGTAACCCAGCTAGTTATGCGCATGCGTTGAAGCCTGTGGAAAGAGCAATAGAGGCCAAAACATTTGTTGTATGGTCGATAATAAATGACAACTTTGTGCTGCAAAACTAGACAAAATTGTTAAATATGGAAGCAGTTTTGTATTTTCAAAAGACCCTGAAAAAGGAAGGCCGTGCCTTCCGAAGTATTGGTAACAACAATTATTATATTCCCGAATGTAAAATCAGCCTTGCTTCTTTTGCTCCATATTTTAATTTATAGCTGATTAGATCGTTGAAATATTTAGGACGCAGACCAGCTATTTTGTAACGTTGGTCCTTGCAACCGAAATAGAATTTAAACTGGATTTGGCTTAACACGTGGAAGAAATTTATGCTCGTAATGACGAATATTTATGCCGAAATTACGCTGGCACAATCTCTAGAAACACTAGCTGTTAACCCTTTAAACCCTAAGATCAAAATTTGAAATCTCATTTGTTGCCCCTATTCATTTCCTACGGAAGTAGTGGCGAGAAGTTGATAAAATATCAAGCAAATTCATCTTGTGTGATCATGTCCGTAATTCTCATGACCACTCTGTGTTGCAAAGCATTAATATTACAAGGATAAATTGGATGTTGATCACTCTTAGGGCTTAAAGAGTTAAATAAAGGTAAGTCGAATGTACCATAATATGTTTATTGAATTATAGAACAGGATAAAGGGCTCACAGTTAGGGCCAAATTTATCACAAGCGTTCAGAAAAAACTAGGTGTCGACAATAGAAACCAGAAAACTGATGGTAAAAACAACCTTCAAAAACAATTCTCGGCTATGAACTACCAATCCTACGCATATAAAAAAGACGAGTAAATGTAAAACTACAACATATTAAACTGATTAAACCTGGTAACTGAAGAGGGAATTTGACTCCAGTATAAGAATGGAGACCTTTCTAGGCAGTAACTTTGAACAATCTGCCAATAGAAATAAAACTCAGGAAACCTATGTCAATAATAAGAGCGTAAAAACTACATTAAATTGCCAATAGACATGTCTAAAGTGCCCGATCACATATGGTATAACAATGGATATATAGATTGACTACTGATTCCTGATGTTTTAGAAAAAACGTACGCGAATAATCCTCGGCTATGAATTTCCTACGCGTATCAAAAAGACGAGTAAATGTAAAACTACCATATATTTAACCGATTAAACCTAGTAACTGAACAGGGAATTTGACTCCTGTATAAGAATGGAGACCTCTCTAGGCAGTAACTTTGAACAACTGCCAATAGCCAATAAAACTTAGTATAACTAGGTCAATAATAAAAGCGTAAAAACCACATTAAATTGCCAATAGACACGTCTAAAGTGCCCTATCACTTATGGTATAACAATGGATATATAGATTGACTACTGATTCCTGATGTTTTAGAAAAAACGTACGCGAATAATCTCCGGCTATGAAATAGCCATCCTACGCATAGACGAGTAAATGTAAAACCATAACATAATAAACTGATTCAACCTAGTAACTGAACAGGGAATTTGACTCCAGTATTAAAATGGAAACCTTGCTAGACAATAACTTTCAACATACTGCCAATAGAAAAAAAACTGCAACTATGTAAATAATAAAAGCGTAAAAACTATATTAAATAGGCTAATTCCGAGTTCCCTCAGGCCTCTGTTTCAAAACGAGGGTAGGTGTTCAGCCTTTGATAGGGAAATAATTTTTCATTCTCATGCAAAGGAAACTCATTTTCACAAGAAAGGTTGTGCACCTAGCCTTATTTTGAAAGTGAGGGTTTTTGGAACTCAGACGTGGCCTATTGCCAATAGAGACGCGTCTCAAGCGCCTTTGTCACATATGGTATAACATTATCGAAATACAAATTGACTACTCAATTGATTCCTGATGTTCCTCAGGTGACTATTAAACAAGTTGCAAGTGCGCATGCTCAAGCCGTGCACACGACTGACTAGTCGTAAAATAAGCGACGAAAACTACACGCACTAATCACTGGACTACGAAAAGATTTAACTTATTTTTATTGTTCCCAGTTAGCTTGTATTAGCTAAACAAATCGGCACTTAATTAAAGTTGTTTAGTTATGTTATTTAATAGAGAGCTTTATATTTGAGGGAGAGGACGACGACGAGAACGATATTTCAATTTGAGTTTTCTCGTCTATTCTCTAAAAACAGACACCCCGGAATGCTTCATCGTACTTTTTTCACCACAAAGGTTAGAAAGCTTATTAATCATAAATGGCATTCGCGCTAAAACTCGTAGTAGAAGGACGATGGCATTTACATTGTCCCGTCAAAATGACGTCGGTTCGCGTCCGCGCACTAGTTAGCATCGGGAAAATCTCGTCCTCGTCTTAGCATCGTAAGCTTTCTGATGGTAAAAACAACGTACGCGAATAATCCTCGGCAATGAATTAACCATCCTAAGCACTATCAAACAGACGAGTAAATGTAAAACTTCAACATTTTATCCAATAGAAATAGAACTACAACTACGTAAATATCACTAAAACCGTAAAAAATATAATTACCAGTAGACACGTCTCAAGTGCCTCTGTTACATATGGTATAATGGAAATACAAATTGACTACTGATTCCTGGTGTTCCTCAGGGTACTACGAAACAAGTTGCAAGTGCGCATGCACACGCTGTGCACACGACTGACTAGTCGTAAAATAAGCTACGAAAAGTTCACTAATCTTTGGACTTCGAAAAGATTAAATCTTGCTATTAAGTTGTATAAGCTAAACAAATCGACACTAAATCAAAGTTCTTATGTTACGTCATTTAATAAATACATCATTGTCTCTTCTTCATTAAGAGTTCCTATCCTTGAGAGGATCTCTCCACCTCGTAATTGTGATGCAAAGAAACTGAGTTCAACTTCATCTTGATGCAGCACCTATACAACACAAACAGCAACTAGCAACGTTAGAAAGCTAACAGAAATTTCAGTAAAAATTATCAGCAAATTTTTTTACTTGACGCGATTTTCTTTGAACAGTAGGGTCCTTTTAAGCGCTAATTTCTCAAGAAATATTTACCATCAATGAAATTGGAATATTTCGTACCGATGCCGAATGATATCTGTTGTTCCTTGCAAACAGAGTTTCTTAGCCATCGCGTTAAAAACGAAAAGGTTATGACGAAAACTTCGTCGCAGCTAAACGCGCCTGTAGTAATGAAAGCCACCTTAACAGTCGTTTATTGTTAGCCAAATTTACGGCTGTCCACCCAATCATTTTCTCGTAGTTAGTTTTGCCTGAGTTCGTCAGTAAGTCGTTTGTACTTCTTTGTTGTGAACTTGACCTGTGATTGGCAGATTGATGCTAAGTGGAACCATCTGAGTTTGTTGTCATATAACATTAAATGGCAGCAAAATTTGCTTGTTATAATGACTTTTGCCAAAGCGCTTAATATGATCGAAGGTTTATATACACCAAGAAATACCTTGCTATTTATTTGATTCCCTCAAACTCGAGCGTCACGTCGTCACCAATGAGAACAAACGGCGCCCAGTACTTCACTGCATTAAAGCGGTCAGATTCTCTCATGGATTTCATGGCTTTATTCAGAGCTTCACTGGCACTTCGTCTATCGACTAGATTTCGGTAGAAAACTTTCATGAACTCCATAGTCGCCTCGTCGTCAATCGCCCACAGGGACACCAGAACAGAACGAGCACCAGCACCCAAAAATGCCCGTGCGATGCCTACCACACCCTCCGGTTTGACTTCTCCCCGGGCACTATGACAGCAACTAAGTACCACAAGTCTTGCCCTAATCTGTGCCTTTAAAACATCTTTCATAGTTAAGAGATGGTCTTCCTTGTCTGGAATCAAGGATGAAAGTGTTTTGTTTGGGGCCAAAGCAATTTCTCCTGTTTCCATATTGCCATGAGCAGCAATATGCACCAACGCAACCGAGGAGATACGTGTTAAGACTCCATCTTTTGTTGCCTGTTTTCCAACGAGAGGTACAGTTTGAAGTATTTCCCCAATCATCTGCACCTCCTTTTTGGCCCATTCTAACTGCTCTAGTGGTTTTTTTCCATGAACTACCGGTACCTCCTGTACCCATGGATCGCCGACGAGAAGGGCGCCAGTCTTGCTGTGCCAATCTGCTGGACAATTTTGGATTAACCGCAGACTAGAAAGGGAGGGAAGCAGACGAATTTTAACGGTTTCGCAGAGGTACTTTGATTTCAAATCCATGAAAGCAGCATAAGGCGCCAAACACAGAGGTCCTTGTGGCACAATCACAACCTCATCGCTATGGAGTAAGTCTCTTATAGGGTCTTTAACAACATTGTAAAATGTTTGTAATGACTTTGTCTCAAAACGTGAGGATTGAGACCTTGGGTTACTGGATCTTTCTTCCGCTAACATTTCATCGCTTGGGCTTTTTAATGAGCGATCTTCACAATTAACATCAACTCTCACACCTATTTCTTTACGTGTAGTTTCCAAAAGAGATTGAAAATAGGTTGTGACGGAGACATCGATCTGGCTTCTTCTAGTTTTGATTTCTTTTCCTTTCTCGTTCACCCAGAGAACTATTCCTTCCTTGTTGATACCTATAAAAGCTGTATTTGATGGTAGGTAACTAAGAATGTCAGGGGCTGTTGCAGAGAGTGTTCCTATTTCTGAAGGTAACCCTTTAAACCCATACTTGAACTCCAGAAGATCGTTTAAAGCTTGTGCACGTCCATGATCAGCAGTTAAAAGTGCCTCGACGACATTACCTTGCTTAAACTGCAGCCCCCACAGCTTCGAATAACAAAGATCATACTTACTCCTTAGGCTAATCTTCCATTCATCATTAGTTATGAGCTTTCTGCTGATATGGTCAAACGCTATAGCACTGTTCTTATAATACTGAATGGCTATCTGGAAATCTCCAAGACTTTGGTGGGCGTCGCCAAGAAAAGCGTTCGCTATTCCTTCTTGTTCCCTGTTTCCCAATTCTTTAAATATTTCTAGGCCTCGTTCACAGTACTCTATTGTTTTCTTGAAATCTCCAAGACTGTTAGAGGCGTTGCCAAGAGAACAGTACGCTACTCCTTCTCTTGTCCTGTCTCCCACTTCTTTAAAAATTTTTAGGGCTTGTTCACTGTAATCTATGGCTTTCTGGAATTCTCCAATATCGTCAAAGGCGTTGCCAAGATTACAGTACGCTCTTCCCTCTCCTGCCCTGTCTCCCACTTCTTTCGAAATTTTGAGGTCTCGTTCATGGTACTCTATGGATTTCTTGAAATCTCCACCTCTCCTATAGGCGTTGCCAAGATTACAGTACGTTCTTCCCTCTTCTGCCCCGTCTCCCACTTCTTTCGAAATTTTGAAGTCTCGTTTATAGTACTCCATGGCTTTCTGGAAATCTCCAAGACTCTCATAGGCGCAGCCAAGATTACCGTACGCTCCTCCTTCTTTTTTCCTGTCTCCCAATTCTTTCCAAATTTTGAGGTGTTGTTCATGGTACTTTATGGCTTTCTGAAAATCTCCAAGACGGAAATGGGCGTTGCCAAGGTCACAGTACGTTCCTCCCTCTTCTTCCCTGTCTCCCACTTCTTTCGAAATTTCTAGGCGTCGTTCATGGTACTCTATGGCTTTCTGGAAATCTCCAAGACTGTCATAGGCGTTACCAAGATTACCATACGCTCTTCCTTCTTCGGGCCTGTCTCCCACTTCTTTGAAAATTTCTAGGCTTCGTTCATCGTACTCTATGGCTTTCTGGAAACATCTAAGATTTCTGTAGGCGACGCCAAGATTACGGTACGCTTTTCCTTCTCCTTCCCTGTCTCCCACTTCTTTCGAATTTTTGAGGTGTCGTCCATGGTACTCTATAGCTTTCTGGAAATCTCCAAGACTGTGATAGGTGTAGCCAAGATTACAGTACGCTATTCCCTCTCCTGCCCTGTCTCGCACTTCTTTCGAAATTTTGAGGTGTCGTTCATGGTACTCTATAGCTTTCTGAAAATCTCCAAGACAGCGATAGGCGTAGCCAAGATTACGGTACGTTATTCCCTCGCTTGCCCTGTCTCCCACTTCTTTCGAAATGTTGTTGTCTTCTCCAAAGTATTCTATGGCTTTCTGGAAATCTCCAAGACTGTGATAGGCGTAGCCAAGATTACGGTACGCTCTTCCTTCTCCTAACCTGTATCCCACTTCTTTCGAAATTTTGTGGTTTTGTTCATAGTACTCTATAGCTTTCTGGAAATCGCCAAGACTGTAATAGGCGTTGCCAAGATTCAAGTACGCCTTTCTTTCTCCTGCCCTGTCTCCCAGTTCTTTCGAAATTTTGAGGTGTCGTTCATGGTACTCTATGGCTTTCTGAAAATCTCCAAAACTGTAATAGTCGTCGCCAAGATTACTGTACGCTCTTCCTTCTTCTGCCCTGTCTCCCAATTCTTTCGATATTTTTAGGCTTCGTTCATGGTACTCTATGGCTTTCTGTAATTCTCCGAAACTGTGATAGATGTTGCCAAGATCATAATGTAGGGTTGTCTCCATTGCCCTGTCTTCTAGTTGTCTGACAATTTTAAGTTATATTTCAAGGAAGTTTATGAAGTTCTGGGAATCTTTAATGTTGACATAGGAGTCTGCCACTTCTTGTCCTTAATGAAAATGTGCAGATATGATAGTTGTGGCTGCTTGGAAAATTTATTTCAACTCTCGGTCACACTTTTGCTAGGTTGGGTATTTCAGCTCCCCCCTGAAAAAAGTATAAATATTTTGTGTTTTCATTTTGTGGTTTATGCAGTTTTTCACAAAGTATGGTAGCGTATGATAAAGTGAGATAATACACTCTAAATAAGAAAGATCTGTTTTAGCCCTAAAAATAGGGCCGTTTTGGTGAGTAAAATACAGTCCTATTTTAAGCCTAATTTGGCTCCCTTAAATCAGAGCCAATACAGTCCAATTAGCCTAGGGCTGATTTGGTCCCAGGGCTGAAATGGGCCCTATACCGTGGTCTGGAATAGCCTTTTGATTGAGCTTTTTTGGCCTAAATTGTGCTCAAATGGGCTAAATAAGACTTTGGCCTGCAGGGCTGAATTGGCACTTTGGGGCTGAAACAGATCTTTTTAATTTTCAATGTATATAAACTCAGGATATTAATCGCTTTATTTCTCTTAGTAACCTTAAGGTGATTCCTTGGTAAAAGAACCTAACATAGATTGTAGATCAAACTTTGTACACTGATGTGACAAGTCAAGAAGATGATAAAAAAGTAATAATAATAATAATAATAATAATAACGTCACAACGCTGACAAATACGGCTATTTAGGACCCTTTGACAAAAAACGCGCAGCCCAAAAGTAGACAAAAAGGATAATGCATGTGGTATCGCACAGAATTTGACTTATTAAATGTATTGTTTATCCACTTATGTACCAGAAAAATGCCTTTTTATGCCCTTGTTTTTACTTTACGCTCCAAAGTAGAATTAAATTGGGCACGCGCTATTCGACCCGTGATAGCTCAGTCCGTACAATTTAGTAAAATTGCCAAAAAACTGAACATAGATTTGTGCCAATTTTTTTCTCATCGAAAGGAAGCACTGTCCTTATTAAAATCATGAAATAAAAAATGGGGGTCACCGTACTCGTTTTTGCGGTATAGCTGCAGAAAGTGCGCACCAAATTCATTTTGTTCGATTTTTAAGATAAGACTGGGGCGAGTTTCAAGAAAGGGGGAAGAAAGTATTAAAAGATCCATTTTTACAGAATTTACATCGAGATATCACATTTAGGACACAATGTGACAACGAAAGCGTTTAAATGAAAATCAAAGTGAGTAAGCACAAGTTAAACATCCATTATCGAGGTTCTCCGTGAGGAAGTCGAACTCAGCAACACGCGTACTGCTTACGTTATGCACATTCCTAACACATTGAGTCTCACCTCGGCAAGAAACAACCGCAAGCAAAAATTCCAATGGCGTTTCTCTTCAGTCAACTTCATTTTAATAATGTTACTTCACATGCTCTTTTTTACGGTGGCCATCTTGTTATGCGCAGCAAGAGACGCGCAGTGCAAAACCAGGGAATCACCTTAAATCATGTTATTTTTTTCTAAGCTTGCGAGCGGGCGGAATCCTCCAAATCCTGCAATCTGATTGGTTCCGAGAGTGGATAGTTTTTTACGATCTTACCCGCTAACCCGGGCGGAATCGTTGGCAGCTCCATTCACAAGTTTGTTTGTTGTTTGTGAATGAGCATAACCGGTGATTTTTAACCATTTTTCTTTTAAAACTTGCGCTATTATCAGCGTTAGCTAGGGAAAAGTGAATTTTGTTATTCAGACAAAACATCTGAATAACATCTCAAGTAAGTCAACCAGGAAAACCGCTAAAGTAAAGCAAAATAGGCGGCTCGTGATGTCGCTTCAGTAGCTTTATAACTATGCTGAACTACGCTGTAAGTACTGCAATCTTTCTCTTATGCACCGTTTATTCGACATTTTTTCTCTGTTTGTAGGTTTGTTTTCGATTTTTGCTGTCTGAATCTAGATTCTGCCGTTTTTCATTGAATCTTGCCTCGCCAGTTTTCTACTTTTCAGAAAAGATTGTTGTCAACGTTGCGTGTAGCTTTCAATCTTGAATAAACAACACGAACAACTTTTCCAGCAGTCAGTTATCGCTGTTTTTATTTCTCTGTTTATATAATTGTTTAGTTACCTACATCGCCTTCTTTTATTCGAATTCACTTCAAAACCCTAAGATTGGTATGTGTAATTATTTCTTTTTATAAAGCCTTTGTGCAGTTTTTATCCCGCTCGATTGAATTAAGGTGTTTCGATACAGTTTCTCAGAGGCGATACCGATATTTTTCAATCGCCTTAAAAGTGGTTTTTTCCTTGTCCGATGGCTATAAAATTTTCAAAAATTTTAAAATGAAATATTTGAGTCATTTATAACGTTTTTATTACATAATCTATCACGGCTATTGAAGATTTAAGGTTTAAAATATATTTTCGTTTTAGTCGAATTCAAACATACAGAAATTTTTACTTCTTACGGAGACTGTTTGCTAAACACCAAACTTTAAGCTCCTAGTTTTGGACTTTCAGTAGCAGGTCTAGATCTCACAATGTTCAGCTTTTATCAATTTCAAAGTTTTTTGTTTTATTGATGCCATAGTAATATCGATTTTACTTAAAACTACATTTTCACAAATTTCAATCTGTAGCCAATTACTGGTAAAAATTTTATAGCCATCGGACAAGGAAAAAGCCACTTTTAAGGCGATTGAAAAATATCGGTATGGCCTCTGAAAAACTGTATCGAAACACCTTAATCTTAAAGTAAATATTCGGCCGAAGAAAATCTTTGATGTATTTTCTTTCCTGTGGCTTTTAAGTCCGTCAATTTTTTATCCTTGTTTGACACTCAGATTATGAATTGTCTACCAAGGCACAAAAACCTTTCTTTATTCTAAAAAGAGCGTAAATACCGTAGGACCAAGTCTGTTGATACCTCCGCCCTTTCGTGTGATTTGGGGGAGTCATCGTTATGTAGGGATGTTCTTTCCACTTCTCATCCAGACATCCTCAGTGCTTGCGATCTGGATTCTCTTGCCTGTAATTATAACACCACTCTGTCTAGCGTTATCGAATTACACACACCACTTAAAACGAAGACCATTGTATCAGGGCCTACTGTACCCTGGTACAATGACGACATACACACGGCAAAGCTTTTACGCTGAAAGGCAGAAAGAAAATGGAAGAAAACAAAACGGGAAACTGATTTTCAGCTATTCAAGAAGCGGAGGAATCACGTGATGCATCTCCTTAATGAGGCTAAACGCAAGTTTTTCACGGACTTTGTTGAGGATAATAGTAGTGACCAGGGGAGGTTATTTCGTGCCACCAGGACGCTGCTTGGAAAGAATGATAGCACATTGTCGTTTCCTGATTATGATGATAAGTCTTTACTTGTGAATGATATAGCGTGATTCTTTGCGCCGAAGATAATGCGGATACGTGATCAAATAGACTCCACCGTTATCGCTGATATGGATACTGTTCCAGATGACCCTATAGTCAGTGATGCAAAGATACTGTCGGAGTTCAAGCCCCTCTCTGAAGCTGACATTTTGGCACTTATTCAGAAGTCATCAAAGAAAACGTGTAATCTAGACCCCATGCCGACTAAACTTGTAGTAGAATCACTTGATCATCTGTTACCTGTTATTACTAAGATGATCAATTCATCGCTACTTGGGGGACACTTTCCGAATGTATGGAAGGAAGCCCTTATTGATCCTCGCTACAAAAAAGCTGGAATTAATGACTTCACTAATCTTCGTCCAGTTAGTAACCTGCAGTATGTGTCGAAATTGGTAGAGCGTGCAGTATTTGACCAGGTACATGCACACCTTTCTAAACATGACCTCTACTC